GAAAGCCCCAAGATTTCAGAATGATTCTAATTGGGGTTATTGAGTAATCTCAATGGAAGTCATGAAAACACCTACAATAAAGTTTGGATTCGAATCGAATTTTTATTATTTCGTCAAAAACTAGGCTAGATAAAAAAATCACACACAGGATAAAAAAGTTGTTATTTCAATACTTCAATCTAATAAAAATATTAAACTCAGAAAAACCGGTGGCGTACAATGACATTCACCATGAATATCGATAAATCTACCCACTGTGACGCCACTGGAAATATTATTTCGAATCTAATTGCACTAGAAGAAGCTCCATATTACTATTAACAAAAACACCACGTTTCATTGGAATTGATGAAAAGACAATTGAGAAATGAATAGAAAAAATATTTTTCATGGAAATAAATACCCTGTATCTCGAAAACGATGCAAGTTAGGACACATGTTTATATAAACTTTATTTCGTAAAATATCACAAGGAATCACCACCTGAATTTTTTCGGTATAATTTATATACACCCTGTATTTATACAGGGTGTTTCACAGATAAAGGGAAATATTTCAATGGTACATAGGGGTCACCAAGGTGGTTCTGAAAATACCATATTTGATAGGTCTTAGAGTCTTCATAACGGAGATACAGGGCGATTTATCGATTTCGAATAATTATTCATTCGTCTATAAGTATTGAACTATTTAACCAGTATATTTTTATAAAATTTGGTATAGAATCCAGGTTTGGCTTCAGGAAAAATTTACATTTATTCGAAATATTAAAATAACACACTGTATGTAATAATTGACAGAGTTCATCAAAGGAATCGTGAAGAGGAGGAAGAACTGAACTAGATTTGATGCTTTTTCAATCATAAACAGGAAGCTAAAAGTATGTCAATTTCAAGAGTATCAATATTATGAAACCACTCTCAATCATGATTATTTGATATATTCTTGATAAATGATCATAAGAAAAAACTTACTGAGTCTCTCAGTCTTCATAACAGAGATACGAGGTGAGTTATCGATTTCGAATAATTATTCACTTCCTTCCATAAGTATTAAACTACCCATCGCAGTAGAAATAGAAATACAGGTTCAGCTTCAGGAAAAGTCTCATAGTCTTTATAACAGAGATACAGGGTGAATTATGGAATTATAATTATCTGGTATTATTTCCATTCCGCCTGATAGGTTAATGAATCCATCGTCCCAAGTAAGCTACATACCAAATTTGAGAAATGTTACTGGGTAGTTTTATACTTAGGACGAGTGAATAATCATTCAAAACCGATAATTCATCCTGTATCTCCGTTATAAGAACTGTGAGACTAGTAAGTTCTTTCGAGCGATTTTTTGACTGAAATATATCGAATAATCATATAGTTGACACTGGTTTCATAATTTCAATACTCTTCAAATTGACATACTTTTCGCTTCCTGTTTATGATCGTTACGATGAGAATTGGTGGCGGGAAAACAAAAAGCATCAAATCCAGTCCAGTTTTTCCTCCTCTTCAAGAATCTTTTGATGAACTCTGTCAATTATTACATACAGTGTGTTATTTTCATATTTCGAATAAATGTAAATTTTTCCTGAAGTCGAACCTGGATTTTCACTTCGCCCGATAGGTGAATGAATTCAACGTCCCAAGTATAAGCTCCATAGCAAATTAAAATATACTGGGTAGTTCAATACTTATAGACGAATGAATAATTATTCGAAATTGATAAATCGTCCTGTATCTCCCTTATGAAGACTCTGAGACCTATCAAATATGGTATTTTCAGAACCACCTTGGTGACCCCTATCTACCATTGAAATATTTCCCTTTACCTGTGAAACACCCTGTATATATTTGAAGGAACGAGAAGAACGTCCAGATAAGAGAGACAATATTTTCACTGTCATCGCTCGGGAAATTTTCACTCGACGAGCAGTGGAAAGAGGGAAGTGACCATGGATAGTATTACTGGTACATGCAAAATTGTTTGAACAAAAACGCATATTGAACGAACGAACGAACGAACGAACGAACGAACGAACTTTGTTATCTAACAATGACTTAGAAGCAAGCAATTTTCGAATTCAATGAATATTTCGATAAATTATGTTGATTCTGTCGTCGAGGAATTGGAAATCTTGAGAAAAATCACTGCGCCGGCTAAGGCTACAGCAGATGCATTGCGTAGGTTTAAAGAGAACGTTATTTATTTTCAATATACTCTTGAGCGACATAGTCAACCTAAATCGATTTTCCGCGAAGACGACTTTTTTCAACGAAAAAGAAGAAAAAAACTTCAAAAAGGAAAATTTCGAAACCTGATGCAGGAGAATCAGAGATGATTGCATTGAATTTGATCCTGAACAGGAAATTATAATTTTGATTGTATACAGAGTGATTCACGGTGAGGGCACATTAGACGTTTCTGGTGAACGAGACATCGGATCACTTTGAAATTTTGATCTATAGTATAATCGGACATCCTCTGACCATCTAAAATATTTCCAACAATTCGGTATTGCCACTTGGAAAGTAGTAGCAACTGATATTTGAAACGCGGCACCCCCCTGTACTTCATTGCATTTTCTGATTTTATCTGAGAAACTGATTTCATCAAATCATCACACTTGGTGTCTAGCAAGAATGATAACAGATATATGGGGTGTTCAAAATCGAGTTTTTTCAACTTCAGGATTTTTTTGTGTCGAAACAATTTATTATTGTTCGAAATGGCTCACATTTTCCTATCTTTACTTTTTATTCACTATCTACTGACATTAAGTTCGAACTGCTTCGAGGTGAATGAAGATTCAAAATTTGTCAAATCACTCTGTATTCGTTCCAATCAAATGCCAGTATAGTGAATCAAGAGTTATGATATTAACGTTTAAGCCGATTCAACCAATAATGAATTGTTTCTACACAAAAAACTCCTATAGTTGAAAAATCCCGATTTGGTACACCATCTCTGTAGTCATTGCCGCTAGAACCCAAGTGATGGAATCAGCTCGTCAGGAAGAATCTAAAAATGCAATGAAATACAGGATGTTTCTTTAAAAATATGAAAGTTGCTACTACTTTCTGATAAAAGTGGCAACACCACATTGTCGAAAATATATTCTAGGTGGTTATTTGAATAATGTCAGTTTATAATATTTATCAAATTTTCAAAGTGATTCGATGTTTGTTTCACCAGAAACGTCTAATGTGCCCTCACCGTGAATCACCCTGTCTGATGCACTACAGCTAGGAGTCTTCTCGTTTATTTTTGACCGCCCCCTCAACTTAGTTTATCAGAATCCAATTGTTTTTTTTCTGTTCGAAATTTCATTTCCATTTTCATAATTTCTCATTTTCTAGTCCGGGTTTCATTAGCAGGCTGTCTCAGGTGGTAGGAGATGAATCAAACATAACAACGGCGAAGTCCACATCCAAAAGATTTCGAGAAAAACATGGAGAACAGGGTATTCCTCTTGAAGAGAAATGGGTTTGTTGTAAATTATGGTTCTTGGTATCACCCTCAAAAATTTATGATCAGGTCCGTGAAAGTTCCTCATCGCGATATTTTTTGTTGAGAAATAACGTGTGCCTCTTCGATATATTTGTAGATAACCCAGTACATTCACATTCTTGGAGAACATTTAATTCCCTATATTTGCTCTGAAGGAATTTCTCTCTGAATCTAATCGCTCAGACAATATAAAACTTGTTTGATGGAAAATGTATGATAATAATATTTTATTTGGAAATACAAACTCTCCGGAGCGTACAGTCAAATTATGGTTGGAAATTTGAAATCAGTGTATTGGGAGAAAGCTGAAAGACAAATTTTATCAGCTCAAATCATTTGATATTAGGATTTTTCTACGTCGAAATATAAGATTTAATCCTAAAATCGGAACCTTCATACTGCCCCTCCTCTTCCGGCTTACCTCCTAGACGTCAGGACTTTCAGGATGTTCACTCTCTATTCACCTGAAACAGGTTTTTGAAGAAATCGCTTAGGTCACTGCTCACTCACACTACACACTTTTGGATCATTCTTTGATTTACTACTTTCACTCAGAACATATGTATATATACCTTTTCAACTTCAATTTCGGAATCGGTAAGTTATATTTCGGAAAATGTAATCTCGATTTCAGAATTGGTTAGTTCGATTTCAGAAATGGTAAACTCAATTTCAGAATCGGTGGGATGAATTTCAGAAAAAGTCCATCCAATTTCAGAAATGATAAGTTGTATTTCAGAATTGGTAGGTTCAATGTCATGAAAAAAATCCTTATATTTGTTCGAAATGTTTCCAATTGCATGTGAGATTAACAAACCATATTTGAAATATTCAACTTTTCAAAAACAATTTAATCCACAGATGCCATCCATCTGAATCGCTGGAAGATAGTGGCGTTGCACATGATTATAAGAATGCGAACACATTTGAGGTGTTATCATTTTCTTGAATGATCTGCACATTCTTCAAGACATCGCAGTCTGAATTCTATCTGGTTGAGCAATCTGTTCGGATCTCCAGCTATGACCCTTTGGCGATGCTCTTGCAAGAAGCTCTTCACTTCTGATCTGATTCAGCATAGGGCTCTCAAACACCGTTCCATTCACTGTAAACAATCTTTTCATTTGCAATTAAAAATATTTCAAACATATAAAAGGATTTCATCTTCTGAAATTGAACCTACCAATAATAATTCTGAAATACAACTTACCATTTCTGAAATTGAATGGACTTTTTCTGAAATTCATCTCACCGATTCTGAAATTGAGTTTACCATTTCTGAAATCGAACTAACCAATTCTGAAATCGAGATTACTATTTCCGAAATATAACTCACCGATTCCGAAATTGAAGTTGAAAAGGTATAGACCTCAGCTGACTAATAATCCAAAATCATATAGAGAAACAATTCCTCACTTCATGTCACAAAAAGTGATTCAATATAATTCAATGATACCTATAAATACCTACTATTTTTCGTTATATTTTCCAAGTTGGAGCAGTTACACTTCACTAGTTGGCCGGATCATGGGGTACCACTATATCCACAAACTCTGGCACCATTTCTTCAAAGAATGTTGAGAATTCCCTATAACCCACCGTCTCCCATCTTGGTGCATTGTAGGTGAGTAACTTGAACGAATTATTTCATTTTATTTTAATTTTATTCAAAGACTATCTTAAAAACACAGGAGAGGTAGTCACAAGCATAAGAGTGTTAGCCTAACGATTAATGCTATAGATACTTCCTAAACTAGTAAGTATATCCTATCCTGAAACAACAGACTCACACGTGACATATTTTATAAACACAGAGACATAACGCTTACAGAAATGATATCTTTTTATTTTTATATTCTAAGCAACATCATGCCCAGATGTGAACATGTTGACACTGCAAACCCCTAGGAATTTATTGCACTGTTTCAAAATATGAGTGGACGATAAACAATCGGATAGATTCACATGAAATACCTTCCCACTGTCATTTCTAAGATCAATTTCAGGAACCAACATATTTACATTGTTCATAAGTATATTCTTGTACTTTATACTATTGATTATACAAAAAATTAACAGTACTGCTTTACTCTTTAGGGTTACAAAGTTGAAACATTCAAGCATAGAACTATATGAAATCTTATATGCATAAAAGTTTTTTTTCTTGACATACACATACCTTAAAAATCTGTCTTGTACTTTTTCTAAATGCTCAATATTGACATCAACTTGTGGTGACCAGATCACTGAGGCATATTCTAGACGTGGCCCTGGAATATTCAGTATTCCTAATAACAAAACCTGAGACTTTGTAGGCTTTATTCAGGATGTGATTATAATGTTCATTGAATTCAAGGTTTGGTTGCATGCAGATATACACCTAGGTCTTTACACTCATTTTTTCTAGTTAGTTCAGTGTCAGCAATAGAATATGAAGATTATATAAAATTGGTTTCACGGGTAGATGTCATAACAGCACATTCATCAAAATTCAGGAACATTTTGTTCATAGTGTACCATTTAAGTACAGGTTGGGACAAATTGGTCACTTTCAAAGGGAAATTCCTATTTTCCAACTAGATAGAAGAAAACGGATGTCGGTACCTGAGGGTCGATCCTCATGCAAGACTCAATGGTGAAAACTACATATCGATATCTGTCTTCGTTTCGGAGTTACAAGGTGTTATTCGAAAATGGGCATTCTCGAAAAGTGACTATACAACAATTTTTTTGACAAAAATTGTATTTTCTCATGAAAATAACTGCAATAATGCAAAGCATTGAGTTATTTGTGATAACAATCATTCCTGAGGCACTGGAATCTGCCTTCCTATATCATATGTTCAAGAATATAACTTGTTCTTTTTGAAGGTAAAGTTCTATTCTGAATCTAGGTATATGGTGACTGATTTCAGTTCCTGAGGATCAAGTTCCATGACAAAAACAATGTTTTGAAAAGGTTCTAATGAAAACGAATAATTTTTGACAAACAAATGAGTTTCAGCCACTTTTCGAAAATTCATATTCAACTCTGAAACGAAGATAGATATATGCAGTTCTCACCATTGAGTTTTTCATGTGGATTGATCGACAGGTACCAACATCAGTTTTGCTCTATCTAGTACGAGAATACGACTGTCCAATTTGACCGACCCTGTGTACCTACTGTTTAACTCATTTTTGAAAAGGTTAATATCATCATTTTTGATAAGCTTATACATTTTGAAGTCGTCAGAAAATATTTAATATGCGGAATTGTTGAGGGAATCTGGCAAATCTTAAATTAATATTGCAAAAAGCAAGTGCCCTAGGTAGTACCTTGCGGTACTTCTGATGTTTCTTGGAATTCAGTAGATTAGATTTAGAATCTAGGTAGTACCTTGCGGTACTTCTGATGTTTCTTGGAATTCAGTAGATGAAGACTTCCCTTATTTAACCTGGTGATATCTACAAGATAAGTAGGATTCCATAAAATTCATTTTATTCCATAATATACCATGGTCCACTTTATCGAAGGCCTTCGCACAGTCAGTAAGTATGCATGAGATCTAGCTGTAATATTCGATGCTGTAATTTAGAATTCATTGCCTTTGCTGCAGCGTGGGTAATTCCTTTCAGGTTTGTTACTGTCGATCGATCAGGCAAGAAGCCATGGTGTTGTGTAGCAGATTTATTTATGGAGTTATAACATAATATCATCATATTATATTATATTACTAATAGGCATATAATTTTCTACACACATTCCATACTTTGTCCTAAATACCGGCGTGATTACTTGGGAACACATTCTTTTTTATTTATAAATTGAAAAGTTAGGTTAGTGGCTTGATGAAAACTTCCAAGCACCTTTTGAAAATGTATGATGGTATGTTATGTTTTCCCGTTGCATTCTTGTCTTTTCAATTATTTCATACTATTACTGACTACCTCTTCTGTTATAGTTGAGAACTGAATAAAATAACCATGTTGTGAATACCATTGGATATTTCAGAGCTCTCATAGACTGAACTGAAATACTGTGCAAAGGCATATTTGCTATGTCATATGAATTTGTGTACCCACTATCCATTCATTGCATCGTTGGAGGTATACCACTAGACTAATATACCTTTCTCATAATCAATATATTCCCAAAAACTACTGGGATCCATTGAAATATCATTTTCCACAATTTGTTGATGAGCTGCATTCTCATTCTCAGTTGGTATTTTGATGCTACCACTAAGATCACGACACATTTGTATATTATTTCATGTTAGCAGTCCCTTTCCGAACTCCTCTTTAGTTTCATGCAAATTTGCCCAGTTGGTTGATTCAATCAGTTCATATTTAGTGAATAGTAATCACCTTTGAAGTTTACTAACATTAAAATATTATCACTATGCAATGCAAATTGCTCAACAATGTCTAGAAATTGTTTTAGATGTATGACAAACTGACATTTATCATACAGGGCGTGGAAAGAAATTCTGAATTGAGAAAAACCCAATCACGAATCTGCGATTGAAGGTCTATAAAAATAACAAGTTTCCATCGTTCAAGTTTGAACCCCTTGATTGGGTATGAAAGTATTGAAAAGGAATATTCTCAGATATATAATATATTTTTTATATCGTTATATTCATCATAGTATTCATCCGATTCTGGAAGAGAATGTCAATTCTCAATTTCAGACGATATTCATTTTATGCTCAAATTCCTATCGTGTATGTTCAATTGATATAATTCAATGTTCGTCGTGGCATATAGCCAGGAAAGTAGTTGTTTTCTGTTGAATATGCCGAGAAAGAATTAATAATTTCATCACATAGAGAATGCGAATTCTCAATGTATTTATTCAAATGTATCCATTTTTTCATGTTTATAATATATCTGAGAATATTCCTTTTCAATAATGTCTAGAAAGTATACCAAATCTTGGACTGTTGTCTTGGGTGGTTCATTAACATTAAATAAGTAAATAAAGCTCTTTTCCGCTTTTATTTTCACTAGTAACCACTCAATTCTATTAGGAAATTGTAGGTCTATTATTTCCATTGGAATATCTCATTTTGTGGTCACAAGCAAACCCCCTCCTCTTGTTTTTTCATTATTTCTATCGCTTCTGACAATGCTATATATATATCATCAAACAATTCAGCATCTTCAAAGCTTACTGTGAGCCATGTCTCTCGATACAATAACATCATAATTTTCTATCACCACATGTGCATATAAAACATGAACTTCGGTCCTAAGACCACTTACATTTTGATCAAAAAAATGCAAATTGCTCTTTTTATTTACACCCTGATGATCTTTTAGTCTTGTGTCACTGAAGAGTCCCTCTGATCTGACGGCACCCTCTTCCGGGAGGAAAACCAAGAAACTACTGCCCCATTTGACCAAATTTCTCGTTGCCATGCTTTCCTTCAGATCTTCCTGTCTAATTGTAACCTTGAGTGAGACATAAAATTCTGGATGTTCCGACTGATGCATTTCACATCTCACATCTGTAAATTTTGGTTGGAGGAATTTTTGTAACTGATCAGCGGTTGTATCTGATGGAGAAAGTATTGTTACATGGAGGTAGCAAAATTTTGGAACTGCATGAACCTCAACTCTTTCCACATTTTCTGACAACGTGGTGTTTCAGAAAAAGGTTGCATTATTTCCTAATCTGAATATTTCGAGAACTAATCACTGCATCGAGTGTTACCAAGAGTACCTACCTTCTTTCCCATTGTGGAATTGGATGATGTTTGAGCTAACATTGAATTCGAAAAGAAAATAATTACCTCGAAGAAGTTATGTTCAAAAGTCCTCGGTAAGAACCGGATACCTAACCAGCGCCATATATGAGAGTCAGATATACCACAGTATACATAAGAATAAAATTCATGAGATGTGTCAGGTTCCAGAATCACATTCTCATATATATATGCAAGTTGGTCAACAGCATTAATGGAACCATGGAAATGCATCAATATCCGTGATGAAACTGATGAAAGTGAGTTTGAGCTTTTTTTTCTATAGTGCCGGCGTTGGTCGTACAGGCATCATCATCCTGTGCGACATTTGTCTGCGCATGGCTGCTGGAGAGAACGCCATGGATTTCCTAGCCTACTTAGAAATTCTGCAAGAACAACGCCCTTCTATGTTAGAAAATGCAGAACAGTACACATTTGCCCATTTGGTGGTGCTAGAATGCCTTTTTAGCATGCGCACAGCGGTGCCATGTTCCAAGGTGAGAATTTCGTAGTATGTAGTTACTTTTTGACTAAGTAAATCATGGAATGGGCCTTTTCAGTCATTTATAGAGAAAATATTTCTCGGAATATATGGCACTTGAGATTTTTTTCCATCAATTCATCGTATGAAGAATTATTGAAAACGTCATAATGAACGAGCGAATTCTAAAGATCAGGCATGGCCGCGAAACGTGTGACGTCAGTGCGCGATTGGTGATTTCTTCACCTTCTCGCCAATAAAATGACTAGCGTCTGGAGAAAGGAGGATGTAAATGACCAACGTAGCGGGAGAACCCCGCCAAGCCCGATAGTGTAGTTTGTTAATGGCGGGTACAAATCACCTAGCGACGTGAGGAAAGAACGTTAGGAGCGAAGGTGCGAAACAATATTATAATATTATTATTGGTAGAAATAGCCAATACCTTCAATTGGCGCCGAATTATGTATCAAGAGAAGGGGTGTATAGTCGGTTGACATTCAATTATAGTTATAGTTTGGTCTGCGTGTGTTGCACACATAAAAATGAAAATGGAATCGAACTGTTGTGCAGAATAATGTACAAAAACGTTCAGCACATTTCAACATCTTAGAAGGCATTGTTTGAAGTCTCATCCAAATAAAATAGCCCCATCAAAAAAAGTGGGAAAGTGTATAAACTTTCCTGTGAGAGATGCGGGTGCAAGTTCAACAAAGAAAAAGATTTTAGAGCTCACAAAAAAAAATGTTTCAATTTACCTGCGGATAGTGCGGTGGAATCATTATCTGATTTTCCATTGTGCAGTGAAAACATTTTGAGAGATCAATTCGAGAATCAGAATTCAGAGAATTCGCATGAGTTAACGTTGGTTAAGGAAAATCTTGGAATTCCATCCTATGAACAATTTATCGAATGGAAGAACGACTCAGAACTGAAAGATAGAACTCGTTTCGTCAAGAATTCCGGAACGAAAAGATCGTCCAGATCAGAGATACAATATTTTCATTGTCATCGCTCGGGATATTTCCATTCAAAGAGCACTGGAAAAAGGCAAGTTAAAATACAGGGCAGCAACAAAATCAATTCAAATTGTCCTGCTCCCAATAAAGTGGTACATGCATTTACGTGAAAACGCATGTTGGACATAATAACCTATCCTAACCTAACCATAAATGAGAAGCAACGTCAAGCCTTAGCTGCCAAAATTGCCCAGAACATACCCTTCAGTGACATTTTGGATGAGGAAAGTGGACACGAAATAATATTAGAAATACGAATACTGGGTGTGAGTCAGGTATATAGGTGCTTGTAACACGATCTAGGTATATTCGGATAGTTTCTATAAGGTCGAGACTATCTCTGTAATATGTATTTTATGAATACCTATATATATCCTAATTTCATTTCCTTTAATGGCTTCAACCCCCAAATCCTCATATCGGTTCTCAAATAGTCAGTTTTATGTTATCAGTATCTACGATTCAAAGACAACATAACATGCAATAACATGTATAATCAGCTGAGCGTCGCTAGGTGATGAGCACAGGTAATCTTTGCCCGCGCTTGCCGCTGTTCTCCCGCTACGTTGGTCATTTACATCCTCCTGTCTCCAGACGCTAGTATAAAATGCACAATGAACTTGACAATGTTATTCTTCGATTTCATCATTTCTGCAAATTATACAGATGCTGTTAGATAACTCAACTAATTACTACTTGAAAATTCGTGGTACTGAAAAATTGCCCTGCATAATCAGTCAGTTGGTTGATTTTTGTTAGAGGTTTATTCAAAATTGTAAGTGAAATTTCATTTTCTATTGAATTACAGTGCATATATTAATGACATTTAGTTCCAAATCCCTTCCAGTAATTCGCTTTCAAGGAGACCTATTGTACAGTCAGATGTGAAATAAATGTCGCATATGGACGGTGATAGCACCTCTAGTCACTTCTGATGCAATGAGACTGCTAACACCATGAAATAGCGACATGTTTTTGGCATTTGACTGTACCTACCTACACCCAGCCAACACATCTCTGACATGACATGTCTGAGATGTCGCGTTTATGTAACAGTTCATAAGCAAACATATTCGCGACATAATATATCTGAGATGTCGCTATGAGGCGACACTGCGATATCATGAATGTTACATCGCTGTGATATACAGAAGCAGACATATCTGCGACCTGACATCTCTGAGATGTCGCTGCGATGTAACATCAGAAGCAAACAGATATTTGACTGACATTTCTGAGATGTCGCGATGAGGCAGCATTGCGATGTCACGATTGTTCCATCGCGGCGTTGTAGCTTCAGAAGCAAACACATCTGCGACATGACATCTCCAAAAAGGTCATGATGAGGCAACAGTGCGATATCACGAATGATGCATCGCTGCGATGTACATACAGAAGCAAACTCATATGAGAAAATTTCTCAATCAGATTCTTGTTTGGTGAACAAGAATACATGAATATAGATCATGATTATTTGTCGATGACTTGAAGATACATATATCGTCCGCATACGCAACGGAATTTGAGTGGAGTATATAAGCTTCAAATCTATTGATGTACCACAAAAAGAGAATTGGCCCCAATATTGATCCTTGAGGATCACACATATATACCGATCCTATTTCTGATGTCACTAGTGATATCTTCATGTTCAAATTTTCAAGTCCATGTCGTCACGGCAACCACAAATCTCTACAGAACAACATCTTGTCACCTGATGGTATGACATAGAATTGACTGTTTCATATTGGTCGTGGAATTGTGTTAATAAAAACAATTTGTGTACATGATACTATCAAAAATATTGTCAGGAATTTTGGACTCGATCAAATTACTTCGAGGTAACACCACTCTTTCCTGCGGACTCGTGGTATAACCAAGCAATACGATCTTGTTGATTTCTGATAGGAATAATATCGATATTATCGCGAGCACTCATACCATTACTTCTAAAAAAACCAATGCTGACCAATCATAATTGAGAGATAGCCTGTGTTTTTGCGAAAATATCAGTTATCTTTGATTTCAATGGTCAGGGTATGTAAGATGAGTGGGATAGACAGGGATGTTGTATGTTCTCCATTAACTCTAATCATTGGTCATTTGCAAAAGGACATGGAACATCTGGTGGATATGGTTCTGCAGAATAACGGGGTAGCTCAGCAAATGAAATACCTTGAAGAGACTCAGTGGCAGGACTCCATAATGGAAACGATAATGAAGAGAGGCACGAACATTTCAATTCATGCTGAGAAGAACAGGTCCCAAGAGATCGTACCAGGTAAGTGTGGAAAAGATATAGATGTACTCCAAGACCTTCAGAATAATATGATCTACACAAAGAGTAAGAGAGAGAGGATGAGAGAGAGTGAGGGATAGAGAGGGGGACCAGTAAAATGCCTGTCAGCAATAGTGTCTATTATATCGTGAAGCTCTTGAGAGATATGCGAAAATAGCCTTCAGTTGCCTCACCTGCCACTATCATTCCGGTGACTTTGATTACTTGATGAACGAATATATCTCATCATGAGAGTTCCTAAGCAACCCTGCACCTGGAGATGATTACTAGAAGATAATGAGAGTGTTCTCTCTACTAGTACAACTAGAACACGCTTCGAAGAGACACATTTTCACATTGGGACACTTCCTTTATTCTCTCAATCTTTCATCTTTCTCTTTGTACCCATCTAGTCCAATTTGCTACCAGACGTTATCGACAAGTGACTGATTCAACTTTGCAGAACGCTACAGAGTGTTCTTGGCGTCTTACCCCGCAAATGATCCGAAATCATCATATATCAATGCAGTTTTGGTAGATGGTTTTCGCAACCCGGGCAGGTATATCGTGACGCAGCAGCCAATGCCGAACACTCTGGGAGATTTTTGGAGACTAGTGATTGAACGTGGGTGCTCCGTTATCATCAATCTGAACTCAGTGAATCCGAGAGACAAGGTATTACAATCCTGGGAAATAAATCATTGTTTGTTAGATCAATTCACATGTATTGTCATAGCTGTAGTTTTTTATTGATCATGAATGATTCTTCCAGAGTTTGTGCAAGTTTTGGCCAACAGAAGGGGATGACATGACTCCTGTGGATTTTTTGATTATTCGACATGTCACAACGAAGGAGTTCGAATGTTACAAAATCGTAACAGTCTTAGTTGAAGTAGATGATTCTATGGTGAGATGCAATAAAGGAAATGTTTCTGTAGATTTTAACAGAAGTTATTCTTCATTTTATAGGAGGAATTTTCAGTGGATATCATATCAATGAAAGGGTGGAAACCTGGTCAACTGCTGCCGATCAATATGGAAGAATTCTTGGTTTTCAGGGATGCTGCAGATGCTATATCCAGGAATTCAAAAAATGTCATTGTTACTTGCTAGTGAGCAGACAGCAATTCTTTCAATTGGTGAACATAATTAATTCATTTTTCTTCTAGTGATGGTGCAACTGCTTCCGGCTTATACTTGGCGATGTCATTCTTGATAGAGAGGATGAAACTAGAACAAGAATGTGACGTATGTTTGGCAGTGAGGAGTATTCGACATAGCAGAAAGCATTTCGTCACCACAGAGGTGAGCTACTCAGATTGTGTAATCTTTGGTTGATTCGAAATTGTATTTTTAATTTCACAGGAGCAGTACGAATATCTTTTCAGAGCATCGCTGACGTTCATCAATGGATTCCAGAGTTACGCAAATTTCGATTAGTTTAGCGAAATATGAATTTTTCTGTGCCTGGATTTATCAGAATTTTAATATTGCTTCCTGTAAAACACAACTGAGTAGTCAACATATCTACTTGTATATTAATTTGAGTATTATAATTTCAATATTGCTTCCTGGAAAACACAACTGAGTAGTAAACATATCTACTTGCATATTTGAGTATTATTCGAAGTAGGTATTAATCATGGAAATGATTCATATCTCGAAGTGGTCCAAAGTGATTTCGATAAAAAAACAAGCAACTCAAAGTCGGTCGACCACACTTTCATGTTTTATTTTTTGGGATTCAAAGTATTGTTCTATCTCTAGTTCAATCAGTATTATTGAATTGAGTTGCTTCTGAGGAATCAAAATTTGTATTTATTGGTAACAGTGATTGCAATAGTAAAAATAATTTACAAAAAAATAGATTTGGTAAGTGATCATACTATACCCAAGCCTACTAAATTCACCAATTTCACGATATCGCACCAATACTGAATATAGAATATCGAATTGTTGTCCATTCTTCTATTTCGCTCTTCGTGATGGGATCGGGATTTCCTATACTGCACACTTCCGAAGTGAATTCGGTGACATAGGTAATGCGCTGTTATTTGGTTACAACGAATATTTGAAGATATGAAGAAACTTGTTTCATTTAAGGTGATGCAATTGAAACATAAATGTGAATGCTATATTATGAAACTAAATCTAAAATTAATCTAAATACAGTGAGCAAACATTCTGCCCGCCAAAATACACCAAATTTACAGAGTTATTTGACGGCAAGGGACAAAGTTTGATACAAGGCCTCTGCAAAAAACCATGCGCAGTACGCAATGTTGTCATCTTCATTTGGGTGTAGCTTTGTTATTCTCTCCAATCGCCATTGGAGTGGAGGAGTCAATTCATTTTCAATGAGCGCTAAATCACCTAGGTACTCTCAATGGTTAACAGTCATATGAAGCCACTTGCACCTTTGTTGCAAGGTATGCAGATATTCTGCGTGCCATCGCTACCAAAGATCCTGATGAACCTTCTGTGAAAATTGCCAGCGATCGAGACAGTTCATAATCAGGGTAGTAAGGTCAAATTCTGGTGAACATGCTACTGGTCCGAGGTTGAGAACATGTCCTAGAATGAGGACATTGAGGTCATTAGAATAAATACTCATTTCATGAAACGGGCGAGAGTTCAATATTGCCTCAACCTGGACTAAGACAGTATGAAACTCTTCATAGGTGAGGAAGTGGCTGTCAAGCACTTTCAAGAGGTGAGTCCTCACTGACCTAGTAGGTGGTCACAACGGCGCACCGCACACACATAAAAAGAATTTCTACCTTCAATGAAATATGGTTTGAATCAAGAATATGGCTTGTTTATACATATATACTGGAATAAACGATCGCTTGATATGACCATTTTTCATTATAAACCCTTGAACGTGAGAAACTCAGAAAGGACCCCGCACCGCACTAGGGGGGAAATTGGCTTGCGGTGAATTTCCTCGAATTTTGGATATATCGTAGAACTCGTGATGCTGATCAGATGTCCCAATTATCAACGATCTAAATTCAATAGTTTGTATTATACATGGTGCTGAAGTTGACTTTTTCAAAATGTCGAATGGCCATTGTGAAGTTTCCTTTTCGAATACCAAAATCAAATCGACTACGTTTCGTTTGTCGATGTGGCCAGTGAAAATCCACTATAGAGTTCAATGATATCTGCACGTACTCACGATATACAGAGTTGGTCCAAAAATAGCAAATGTTCCACTTACTTTTATTTCGAAATAGTGAGCGGTTGAAATCAATTTATTTTTGGACATTTCATAGTATACTAATATCAACATCGATTCATGATGATTGCATTTTTTGAATCAGACTACAAAATGTACACAAGATGTTCAAGTTTCCATGAAACCGCACCCGTCCTGATATTCATATCCATCGAGTGATTGGAATCCCGTAAAACTTAGTGAGGAAGTTGATAATTCATGATGACAATATTTTATGCAGATACCTGAATTATACAGGGTGGTTGAGAAAGTAGAAGTGGAGTTTTCTTGGAGTTGACGTACCCCAGAGCAATTGAGAAACAAGACAGAAATCCTGAGTACGTCAACTCCAAGAAAACTCCACTACTACTTTCTCAACCACCCTGTATAATTCAGGTATCGCATAAAATATTGTCATCACGAATCATCAACTTCCTCACCAAGTATTACAGGATTCCAATCATTCAATGGATATGGATATCAGGATAGCTTGGCAGTAAATTTCACGCTTGCGTCGGAGAGAATCTTATTTCTTCTCCACACTTTTTCCCCTTCTTGAAATACATGATCCCTTTCCCTAAGGTTATACGATGATGCATTTCTCTGATATGCCTTATGCAATCTTTCCTGTACAGTCTTGAAGACATTACTAAGCCCCTTGATATCTTGAACAAAACTATCCCTACTATCAGGTAAAAGTTCAATATCTTGGGTATTAGGAATATTTCCATAATATTTACCAGAGATAGGCACATTGCGACCAAATGTCTAAAAGGATGTGGTATATTGGGTTATCTCATGCGTGGCCGTATTTATTGCCTGTTGAATCTTATGAAGTTCTTTATCCCAATCCTTGTTTTCATCCACATAACTCCGAATGGCTTGACCTATTGTCTTGTTAGTTCGCTCCACAAAATTGCACTGAGCTGAATAACGGGGTGTGTACCATATCTTTTGCACATTATAAACTTCTGCTAATTTTTTGAATAATTTCCCAGCGAACTGCTGTCCATTATCGCAAACAATAAACTGTGGTACCCCAAATACTGAAAATACTTGATTTTCCATGAACTTCATAATGCTTGGTGCCTTCACATCACGCATAGGACATAACAGTGTATATTTTGTGAAAAAGTCTGATACTGCTATAACAAATAGGTGGAACTTTTGGAAAATCTAGGAAATGTTCCCATGATATCAACCGCAATAGTCTGAAAGGGATATTTTACTGTACGCTCAGCTCCCATGAGTCCCATACGAGGGGCATTCGACAACTTCTGTGACTGGCACACTTTACATGTCTTGACATATCTTAAAATATCACACCTCATCTTCGGCCAATAGTAGTGTTCTTGTATTCTCGAGAGAGTTTCAAAGAAACCAAAATGACTACAGGTAGAAAGATCATGTGAATCTCTTATGACTGCCTTTCTTCGAGAATTAGGTACTATGACTTTCCATTCAACAATATTCGACTTAATAGGAATTTTAGAAGCAACGAATTTAAAAATTTTGTCATCTTCTACCTTGAAATGTGCGTATGCATCAGGGTCTCGAAGGATCTCATTACGTAGAGAGAAGTACCACTTGTCTGTGTCAACAGGCTTGACATCTATCAAATTTATTTCTGGACCCTTTTCACCAGGAGGTATCCTCGAAAGAAATTCAGGTACTACATTATGAATGCCTTTTAAATGACGTAGCTGAAAAGTATGCTGCCGTAACTTGACGGACTATCTAGCAAATCTTCCTGAAGGATCTTTGAGGTTATGTAGCCAAAGGAGGCTATATAGTGATCGGTGATTACATTGAAAACGGTGCCTTCTATATATGGACGAAATTTGTCAATCGAAAAAATGAGACTAAGTAATTCTCTCTCCGTCACGCTATAATTTCGTTCTGCTCTAGATAACGTTCTTGAAGCATATGCTATTACTCGATCAACACCACGAATTTCTTGGGTCAACACCTGCCCCTATGCCTACATCACTCTTTGACATCATTGGAACACCGTAGAAAGGTCGGCGACCTTTCACTTTTCTATCGAAACTTCCACGGGAAATGTTCTTCGGAAATATCTGCTATCATCCCTTCACTAGCAATACCAATCAGACGAACTAGACAAGCCCAGTCAGCATATCCTTCCGTTGTCAACCTCGAAAGATGTCGAACAGCACTTTATCAAGACTCCTTCATCCATAGAACGGCTAGGCTCTGGAATTCATTGCCTGTGGAAGTATTCCCAACAACATATAATCTCCAAAAGTTCAAAAAAAATTCCAGTACCTACCTCCTGTCCCTATCCTCCCTAGAAACGCACGATGTTCTTTGAACATTATAGGGATTCCCTTTCGTGCGCTCCAAGCGATAAAAAAATCAGTAGGACACAGAAGGGAAGCTGACACAAGAGCATTCTTAATAACAATGAAAGAAGCTTCAGCTTTAGAAGTCCATTCAATTGGTTGCTTCTTTCCTTTTCCCTTTAACAAAGCACTAATAGGGGCAATTAAAATGGAAACATTCTCAAATAAACCCATGAAACGTTTAATCTCTGTGCTGGTAGTATAGGACGTGCATAATATTGACCATAACCGAGACCTTCTCTGGGTCGGTTCTAATGCCTTCTCTATCGATAACAAAGCCTAAGTATCGAAGAGATGTCTTAAAAAATTCACATTTCTTCAAATTTATAGTTAAATTCGCATCTTGCGAAATACTCTTTACCTCAGATAAAAGTCTCATATGTTCTTCAAACGTAGAAGAGATGATAATGATGTCATCATTGATACAAAGAAGAGAGGAAGGAACATTAGTGCCCCATCAACACCATCAAAGCGGGAGGTTAATCCTTTTTCTGAGGAATTACTAGTCACCACTGCTGATCTTCTGAACACAACTATTATACCGGAACCTAAGAAGTCAAAAAAGCAATTCTCCAATACTAATATAATTGAAAGGAAAACCCATTCTAACAGTGCATCATCGTCTCAGAAAAGTACATCAGACTAGATCAATCTTCCAGCTTATGTACACATTATATACATACACATTCAATTGGTTCATCTGATTTCTGGAGTCAATCTTTTTCACATTAACTCATAGGTTCGTAGATTAATTATTATCCCTGTTTAAATTTCCTTTATATTATCAGCTGATTGTAATGGGTGAAAATGTAAATAAACAATTAAGTTATCTCCTTCTGAATATCAGATCATTGTCCAGTGGCTTCGATATACTAAATGATTTCATGAATAATGAGAATTATGACATTTTTGGATTATCCGAAACATGGCTACATACTGATACCCAGACAGCACTGGATATTCCTAGAATATTCTCTAAATATGCTAAAAGAGATGAATATATTCCGAATATCCTTCGAATATTCTTAGAATATATACGTGCCTCTGGAACATTCAAAGAATATTCAAATGTGAATATTCTAGTAATATTCCAAAATGAATATACGAGGGATATTCCAGAAGGAATATTCTAAAGTGAATATTCCTAGAATATTCCAGTTGGATAGAGCAGGGAATATTCAGGTATGAATATTCTAGTAATATTCCCATCTGAATATTCTGTTCCTGTATATTCATGGAATATTCCAATAATATTCCCATGTGTTTCAATGAAATTGTAAAGTAAGGAAATTAACCAATCACTATTTCATAGATGTGAGTCATTGATTTTGGAATCTGTGATGGAAGTCCATCGCATTTCAAAGTAAA